TTAACAAATCGAGAGAGAAAGATAGATCGATAGATAGATAGATACTGAACAAAGTGAGATATAGCTAGATAGATGGATAACTAGATAATGAACAAAGTGAGATGGCATAGCTAGCTAGATAGATAGCTAATTAGCGAGACAGATAAGGAACAAAGTGCGATAGACAGCAATATAGAGAGATAGATAATGAAGAAAGTGAGATAGATAGCTAAATAGAGAGATAGATAATGAACGAATCTGTATAGATAGATAGATAGATAGATAGATAGATAGATAATGAACAAATTGAGATGGATAGCTAGATACAGAGATAGATAGATAATGAACAAATTGAGATAGCTAGCTAGATAGAGAGATGGATAGATAATGAACAAATTGAGATAGCTAGCTAGCTAGATAGATGGATAGATAATGAACAAATTGAGATGGATAGCTAGATACAGAGATAGATAGATAATGAACAAAGCGAGATAGATAGATAGATAGATAGAGAGATAGATAGATAGATAGATAGATAGATAATGAACAAAGTGAGATAGAGTAAATATGAGTAAATGCTCTGTTCTTTAATTAAACATTATTAATTACATTTACCGGCCTGAATGTCCGAGAATTTTCGCAGAAAATATGCGTTCTCCGGAGTTTCGTAGACGAACTTCTTTCATAATTGTTCGGGTCACTTGTTAGAAAGGTTCAGCGGGTTTTCTAATTTTTATGTTAAGTTTGACGTAATTCATACACGAATTTGGATGCGACTATTATTGTGGTTAGGCTGATTTTAATTCTGTGTATATGTGTATGTATGTTTGTGTGTGTGTGTGTCTGCGTGCGCTTATGCATTTGTATATGTATGTAGGTGCCAAATGTCGTGTATATTTTTCCACTTCATGAAAAACTAGATTAAGGAAAAATCGGTTATATGTCTTTAAAAGAGAGTTCACACGCGGGTACGTGCGTTCGCGTATAGTATGGGGCACACAGTGAGGATCGAACTCACAACTCTGTCGTAAGTGTCCTAGCAAGACAAGCTTGCTAACCATTACGCCCCGTTCGCGTGTTGTATATATGGGCAAATAAGTCGATTTCACAATGACAAAAAAAGCTCCCTTAATGGCTAATACCTGTCTATTTAGACCTCTTGAACCTGACAGTCTGATAGACGTAATGCCGCTGTATTTTATGAAGCGAATATAAACGTAAACTTGAATTAACACCTCACGGTCGATTTATATAAAAAGCTGACATTAAGTCAATTTAATTCATTGTTCCCAGTTGAGTTCTGCAACTAAAACGGCCTAAAGCTAAGAAATCTCATCTATTTTTTGACAGGTTTTACAGAGAACAGCAACTATTTTCTTTTTTCTATTTTTAATTTTTAATTTTTAAAAGGTTAACTGTATTCATTTATCGTGTACGAGGGTCGGTTGAAAAGTTCTGAGGCTGACCAAAATATAAATGTAAGTAGACACACCAGTTGGTAGACTAAAAGACATGCAAGTGTACCAGAATACAGCAGCTGCCCAAAGAATGGGATCATGATCGAAAATGGCTATTGACTGTGTAAAATTTGTTCCTCATTAGGCTCTAGACCTATGTATATTCGAAGACGTTCGGAAATGGTCTCGAACAGCCCAAGAAAGGATTTCTTCGAAAGTGGGTCAACACCCATCTCATTCATATATATATATATATATATATATATATATATATATATGGTGGGAGATTATAGTTGTTCTAAAGAGAGGAAGTGCATATTTTAAAGAGAAAAGAGAAGTTGCAAAAATTTTTGTTTATAATGTGTATTTCTTCTTTTTTTTTTATATATCATACTTTATTTTCCATATTTTTTTGCTACACGGATTTCGAGTCTTGTGACCTTCATCCGGCGAAGAATGGTTATTTCCACATATTATTTAAAAGAATTATTTTTTTCTTATGTTTTCTTATGTTTAACCATTGTCTGTGTGTGGTAGCGATCCAAATTCTACCTAACTGGAAAATAATTGGTTTACCACCACACACAAATTCCTATACAAGTTTTCGTTCCCTGAAGTATGTATACAATTTTTTGGCGGTCTCTCTCTCTTTCTCTCTCTATCCCCCCTCTCTCTCTCTCTATATATATATATATATATATATATATATATATATATATATATATATATATATAAAAAGAAATATAATGTAGTGGTTCCAACGAGAAAAAATATGTATATTAAAAAAAGAAAGAAGGTGCCGCAAAACGTTTTTGAGATGTGCCGCAAAAAAATATTATGTTGTAAAAGTGGATTTTTTTAGAAAAATAAATTATTAAACAAAAAACGTTTGCTGCATTTTTCTTCTTTTTAATATATATATATATATATATATATATATATATATATTTTATAACAGTTTTCGTTTTCTGACATGTGAATATATATTTATTTCGGGGACTCCTCTTTCCTCCTCCTCTCTACACACACACACACACACACATATATATATATATATGTGTGTGTGTGTGTGGGTGGGGTGGGGTGTTTGGTGTATTGAATGTTTTTGAGATGTGTAAACCTCGTTCTCCACCAACATTACCAGGCAGTAAGGCTCTTTTATGCAAGAATTGGTAATCAAAGACAACATTATAAAGGAAGCGATCAGCAAAGAAGAAATAAAATTCTTGGATATGAGACAAAGTCTACGACGATGTATATATTAGAGCCGTTGCTGTTTGTTGAATCAGTCCAGCGAAGCCAGAGACTGTTTTTGTTTTACACACACACACACACGCACACACACACACACACACACACACACACACACACACACACACACACACACACACACACATATATATATATATATAGTTTTGGTTTTGTCTCTCATTCTAACCTGAAGACAACGAACGCAGCAGACGTTCTTTCGGAGAAACACCGTTTATAGCTTTTCCACTCATATCTATCTATCTATCTATCTATCTATCTATCTATCTATCTATCTATCTATCTATCTCATGTTCAGATCTACAGAATCAACACATATCTATCTATCTATCTATCTATCTATCTATCTATCTATCTATCATGTTCTAATCTTCAGAGTGAAGTCATATCTATCTATCTATCTATCTATCTATCTCATGTTCTAATCTTCAGAGTGAAGTCATATCTATCTATCTATCTATCTATCTATCTATCTATCTATCTATCTATCTATCTCATGTTCAGATCGACAGAATCAACACATATCTATCTATCTATCTATCTATCTATCTATCTATCATGTTCTAATCTTCAGAGTGAAGTCATATCTATCTATCTATCTATCTATCTATCTATCTATCTATCTATCTATCTATCTATGAATGGTTCCATGACCTTCTCTCTATTCAAGTAAAACATGGTAAATATCCATTAACAGTTTTCCTAAATGTGTGCATATATTTTGGTTCAAAAAACAGTGTTGGGCTTTTGTGCTTTTGTAGAACCTTCCTTGTAAATTTAGATAAAAATAAATAAATAAATAAATAATAAATTGATAAAATGACTGGGTAAAAAAGAGCATTGGAAACGTCCGAACAGGTGGCGCCATGATGGTTACCTCAAAGTAGACATGTGCGTTCAATATTCAGTTTATATCAAATTTCGCATATTGTCCTTTCTCCCCACCATCCAACCTCGACGATAATCCCTTACAATCCTCGTCAGTGCACTTATCTCGCTCCATCTGTCCCTACCATGTATGTTTCCGGTTTGAGTTTAAATTCTTCAACCAACAACAAAACCAGCGACAATGGCCTATGTGTCGTGGCTTAACTAGTTAAACGTCTTCTTTCTTTTTTTTTTTTTTACTATCCAGAAGGAATGTCAGTCAGTGGTTCAAGTTTGCACTTTCTGAAGACATTTTTCCTTACCGGATTTGATTATACGACACATTTTTGTTTTTAAAAAAATGGCTAAAAATTGATCTAGCGAGACAAGCTTGCTAACGATTACACCAAATCGAAGTGTCCGACTGATTTTCTAAGTGTAACTTAGATGTGGCACAAGGCTGAAAGTGTGGAGCACCCAGTGAGTATCACATTCATTATTCTGTCGTATTTGATCTAGTGAGACAAGCTTGCTAACGGTTACACCAAGCCGAAGTGCCCAACGGGATTTCTAAGTGTAGCTTAGATGTGGCATAATGTCGAAAGTTTGGAGCACCCAGTGATGTTCAAACTCACTACTCACTTCTAATAGATATAGCGAGACAAGTTTAAGCTTACTATTTTTTTCTAACGTTCACTACTGCACATTATAATTTTACCTCAGACAGTCACTTTTTAAATACTAAATTTCACCCAAAACGAGGCTCCAGAACCATCCAAGGTAGAGCTTTATTTTTAAAATGGTTATGGAATAAAAATTGCCCATGCCAGACAGAGAAGCGATGATATATCTACACATTCTAGAAATTTCAGCATAAATTCTAAAGTGTAACAAGAAACCGAGTTGTTTGCACGGGGAGAAATTTGAATTCTCCTAATTTACGACCAATACAGGGTTCGAGAGCCACTCAAGATAGAGGACTACTGTTAAAGCCGTTAAATGAAATATAAGATATGAATGAAAGTGTAAGTGGAAGAAAATGAAGATTGTGTGGATAAGGAGGATAGATAGCAGTTGACTCTTGACCTAATGGTTTAAAGATTGTTTCTTCGAACTTTATTCTGCCTTTTGTGAAAGTTTCTTAGCTCTATGATTGGTGTTCATGCATACAATTTTTTTGTCTAGAACAATTCTTACCAAGTCATTAGTATTTAGTTGTCTAACCACGGTTACAACATGTGACACAAGGTCGATTTCATGTGGGAAACGTCCCAGCTATAGGCAAATAGTTAACCCCCAAATAGGGGCCAAAACGCTGTGTAGGTGTAAAAATAAATATTAATACCAGCAATACTTTTTAGGGAAGAATATTACCAGAAATACATTTTCGAGAAAACTTTTTTTACCAGCAATACTTTTTTAAAGAGCTATTACCAGCTATATACATTTGAAGGAAACATTATTATCGAAGATACAATTTTGAAGTAAAAATTATTACCAGCAATACATTTTTGTAGGAAAAATTATTACTGATTGCTGCAGGAAGAATTATTGCCAGCAACACATTTTTAAAGAAAAATTATTACAAAGAAAATATTACCAGCAATACATTTTTTGAAACATTATCTGCAATAGATTTTTGAAAAAAAATTTACCTGCAATAGATTTTGAAGAAAAATATTACCAGAAAAATTTTTCGAAATAAAAAAAAACATTGCCAGCAATACTTACTATGAAAGTGTAAAAATAGGTTTTAATACCAGAAATACTTTATAAAAAAATTAATATCAGCAATAAATTTTTCAGGAAAAAATTATTACCAGCAATACATTTAAAAAAAAAAAAAATGTTACCAGCAATAAAAATTGCCGGCATTAAATAACCCATAGAGCTTGATATGCCATAAAACACACCAAAGCGAAACCGTAGACTGACACCTGACTGTACAAAGAAGACGTCAAAACTACAAGTAGTGAGAATGGATAAAATTTAGCATTTTGGTGTTATCAAGTACCTGCAGATTTAACCCCCAAGAACATTTAAACTGACATGGTTGCTACGTTAGGGGATGATGCTCCGGTATTATCAACAATGCAAAAGTGTGCAACTGACTTTATAATAAGAAGAGTCGTGAAGATGACCTAAGTGTCGCCGAAGAAAACATTGATCGAGTTCACCACATGGTTATAGATGACAAGCGATTGAACATAAATCAAATATCCAAATCAATTACCATATCCCGTGAGAGAGTTGAGAATATTTTGCACATTGATGAAGCTTTCCGCTCAGTGGGTGCCACGTATTCTTACACCAGAATCAAAGACGTGCCAGGTTGATTACATCAACAAAAAAATCTGACATTGTTTGAGGCATATCCAGCTGGTTCGGTTGAACGTTTCCTCAACCAAGATGAGTGTTGGGCTCAACATTTTCAGCTAGAGACAAAGAGACAATCCATGCAGTGGAAACACGCCTTTTTGTCTTCTCCAAAAAAGGCCAAGGTCATTTGATCTACAGGGAAGGTGATGAATTCTGTTTTTGGGATGTAAAAAGAATTATTTATTGAATATCTTCAAAGGGCCACACCATCAATGGAGAGTACTATGCTAACTTGTTGAGACAGTCATGAAAGGCTATCAAGACCGAACATCCACCAAAACGGAAGAAAGGGGTCTTGTTTCATCAAGACAAATCTCCAGCACACAAATCATTGATTTCAATGGCTGCTGTTCGTGAGCGTGCGTTTGAACTGGTTGATCACCTTCCCTATTCTCTTGATTTGACTATCATCTGTTCCCCAACATGAAAAAGCTCTTGACTGAGAACGAGTATCGCAGTGGAGATGGCGTCATATCTGCTATTGATGATTTTTTTGACCAACAGGATGAACAGTCTTTGAACAGTCAGATTTCAGTTTATTGGGAAATAAATAATGCAGTTATTAATACGAAGAGTTGAAATTAATGTGTGCACGATTTCACAATTCTAGAATCGCACCTTCATAGTCAGCCAATAAACTTTTCAGCCCAGCTTCGTAGCAGGATAGACTGGACTCTCTAACCAGTTTAGTTTGAGAAAAACTCTGAATTCTAAACAACAGCGAACAATTTCAAACATTTCATTTGTCGAATATCTTGCAATGGTTTAATTGCTCAATATCATAGATAGAGCATATGTAAATATAAAAGTGGACATTGAAGTTAACACCCAGAGTCAACAGCCTGTTTTATGCTTAAACGCAATCGTCATGACATGTGCATTGCGTTATTGCTCGACTATATATATATATATATATATATATATATATATAAGATGACTGACAAGGAATTGCGATTAAGCTTTTATATTTTTTCTTGCAATCGCACGAGTGATTTCTTTTTCTGAACATGAATATGAAAACTCTCCAAATGATCTGATGATAGGAGCGCTTTCGTCTAATCTATTAGCCATTATCAAGGATTTTTTACTTAACTGATTATATATATATATATATATATATATATATATATATATATAGGATTGGAAAGGGAAACGTTAGTAATAAAATAAAAAGCCAACTCTCGATAACGTCAATTATGAACACTGCCAAAATGTGCTGACAGTGTTCGGAAATTAAAAAAATTCCCATCCTATATATATATATATATATATATATATATATATATATATATATATGCCGGGTGATTAAAAGTAGTTCCCTATTTTATATATGAGTGACCAGTCAGGAGTTCTGTTAAGTTTTTCTTTCATGTTGGTTAAAGGCGAAAGGCTTGAAGAGCAAATACAAGAAGTTACGTCTTCCATACCACAAGAGTTCCTGATGAAATCAGTTGACACAATTTCTGTGCGGCTCAAGAAGCTGGTAGCAAAATCTGGTGCCCATATCAAATTTTAAATAAAACCTCATGCTAAATGTTTTTCTCTCATATCTATTTTTTCTAAAAATTAAAGTTAATAAATAAATTATAAGTATTTTAAAATGGCGAACTACTTATATAATAACGTATAGCTTATAATCAGAAAATATATTACACATTTGTCGGAGTTAATCCATTTCCCATGAAATATATATATATATATATATTTTTTTTATATATATATATTATTTATTATAATTTTTTCATATACACAAAAATAGTTTACTTACTACAAAGATGCAACTTCGTTTCGTTGCATATTGCATATTTTAACGAAACGATATGCTATTGATTTTTTTGCATGCTAGCATGCTAGTTAACATTCGTGTCAGTCAGCTGTTGGCTCTCACGCTGGCCAATAGAATCTTCCTGCCTATTCGTGGCAGCCAGCTGTAGGCTCTCACTCTGGCCAGTAAAAAATGTCCGCAAACTACATAAAAACAGCCGTAGAAGCATGAAAAAATCGATTATTTCAACTATCGATGGAAGTTGGGAAATGCAAAGTCGGTCTTGGCTTTCTCGTTAACTTGGAGCATGTGCATGTAAATTTTGGTGCAAATCCGTCGAAAATTGCGGCCGTGCATTCGTTACACACACACACACACACACACACACACACATCCTGCCTTTTATAGATAGAGATTTTGTTGTAGTTAGATTTTGGAATACTGTGATTGCTTAAAAATTTTTTATGATATATGGAATAATGTCCTGAAAGATCATAGACAAAAGAACACCATTGGAAAATTCGTAAACTTAAAGACTTAGCACATTCTGGGCCACAAAAATTTCCATTAAACATGGCACGTGGAACTAGAACAGTCTACCCCAGTGAGCGAAATAAAGGGTTCAGTTCGACATTCCAACCACCTGAAGAAGGCCGAAGCGTACAACGGCCAAAACGTTATAATAATATAGACAGCTACAGAGTTCTTTCATGTTGGATTTTGTTTAGCGGCATATCAACACCTCTATGGGTTATTTAATACCAAAATATAAATATTTCGAACATAGTTTCATGGCTTCAACTACAGATAAAATTTATTGTGGCTCATTTTGCTATAGAATTTATTGTTTGTAATTCTACTATTAATAAGTATGGTTCGTTGACTTTTTTATATAATAATGTATTGCTAGTATTTTTAATATAAAATATATTTTTATACTTTCATAGTGTTTGTGGGGATTAACTATTTATCCATAGCTGGGGCCCTAACAGGTGCTATCACCCCCACCCCGTTATGATGGACCTGGGTACAAGAGCAATTAAAAGGTGGTTCGATGCTATTCAAAACCTCCAATCTTCCGATCAGAGACCTTGCTGCCGGATGTAGTTTATCGTCATACCCAGGACTATACTTGAATGTATTGCATATAAAGAAAGAAGCTGACGCTTTTTTAAAATTATATTTCCAGACGTACGCATTGATATCGCAAGGGTAACATTAACTCAGATAGGCTAAGTTTCGGAGTATAAGTACAAATATGAAACAGCTTGAGAAAATCGACCTCACTACAGTAGTAATGGTTTTATGAAACGTTTGATTAATCTGAAACCGGCCAAGCACCTTGGATGATTATCACTAGCAGACTGTTAGACACAATTAAATTTAACCTTACAAATTATCTAACAATATGAACGGTCAGTTTTGGTATATTGATATATTGATAGGATAGTTGATGTGAAAACTTCTGCTTGTTGTTCTACGTACCGCCTCCCTTTCGGATGTAGGCGATCATGGCTCACCACAACTTCCTACCTCATGAGGCTGTTTTTTTCTTTGCTGATGCCAGGGATTCCCACGCCCGTTCAGCCATCAGTATACACAAGCTCATCAGGTAAGTGGCTCGGTGCCTTCCCCTATCTCTCTTATCCCCCATATCCCCCGTGAGAGTTAAGTTTGTCAAGTCCTCCAGCTTCATTATGTTTGAAATGGAACACTGAAATCTATCTATCTATCTATCTATCTATCTATCTATCTATCTATCTATCTATCACACAGTTTCTTTCATTCGCAGTTTCTATCTATCCATCACACAATTTATTTCTTTCATTTGCAGACAGTTTCTATCTATCTATCTATCTATCTATCTATCTATCTATCTATCTATCTATCTATCACAGTTTCTTTCCTTCATTCGCAGACAGTATCTATCTATCTATCTATCTATCTATCTATCTATCTATCTATCTATCTATCACACAGTTTTTCTTTTTATCACAGAACGTATCTATCTATCTATCTATCTATCTATCTATCTATCTATCTATTTATCTATCGATCTATCTATCACACAGTTTTTTTTCTTTTTATCACAGAACGTTTCTATCTATCTATCTATCTATCTATCTATCTATCTATCTATTTTATTTATCATCACTTCTGTCTCCGTTTTATCTACATCGTTTCAGAGAAAAACATAATATGGAACAGCAACAGTTTTTACTCGTCTACCCGACCATATAACTTCGTTATCTATCCATCGCCTGTATTCCTTATCTATCTATGATAAAAGTCTATCTTTTATTTTATCTTTTTAAATATTGTGATGGACAGTTCGTTGTACACTAAGATTAATATCGACCACTCTCGATTCAAGAACTTTTATCTTCTGTCCCACAGGGAGGGGTCGGCATCCAATCACAACAGCCTGGAAGGGAAGCAATATTTTCAGTTTCATTTTTTTTTTTTTTGCACGATTCTTTTCAAAGCGTGGCCAAAGATGTTTCCGGATTAACTTCCAGAAACTCATATTTTGCTTTTCCCGCTCTTTAGTTTCTTCATCAAATCTTTCTATATTTTTTCTCTGTCGTTCGAAGGTTTATCAGTAGTTTGTTTTGTTGTCTAAAGAAATGCCCACCCCGCCGTCATTTTTAGGGGCTTGATTATGTTGACCGAAACGAATCGTAGCTAGAAGCTTAAGAAGTATATCGTGTACGTACTATCTGGACATGTCCAGGTGGTTTATTTTTTGAATGTAGGATTCCCAAAAAAATCTATTTTAAAAGAACGGACTATCTTCTTCGAAGTAGCAGATATGTCCTGAATGCGGTTAAAGAAGAACTTAAAGTTTTTTTTTTTTTTTATCAATGCGGTCACGCAAAAAGTAAAACAAGAGGGATTTCACGGGGAGAGATCTATCCAAAGTTTTGACTCATTTGGTGCTAAATTTGTCCAAACGGTGTGCACACACAGGTTATTGCGTCGTTTTGATTGAGGGAGAAATCAATAGACGGATATACGCACACACACACATACACACGCACACAGAGACATACACACAGAGACACACACGAGCATGTGCTGAAAATTTCTCTGCTTTTCAGTACCCCTCGTATATATATATATATATATATATATATATATATATATATGAGCAGCAAAAATTAATCTTGTTTGCACATATATAAATATATATATATATATGTGAGTGTGTGTATATATGTGTATATATATATAGAGAGAGAGAGAGAAAGAGAGAGATATACACATACACACATGTATATGTGCGTGTGTATGTGTTGTATTTCTCTCTTCTTGTGTTCGTTTCTTTTTTGCTCATATATATATATATATATATATATATATACATACATACATACATACATACATATATATATATATATATATATATATATATATATATATATATATATATATATATATATATATATATATATATATATATATATATATATATATATATATATATATATATATATCCTCACCGGATTTAGGTGTGTAGTTGAAGGGTTATTAGAAACTATGAGGTTAATTGACTAAACCCTCTACAAAAAACAATGTAGTGTATCATTTTATATGCCCGTTCAAAGATTATATCTCTGATACTAATAATACACCCGCTACAAATATTGGTTTTACTACAACCACGCTCTCCCGTAGACTTACCTGTCACCTTTCTGATCTTAGTTCTATTAAGCAAGATTTCTTAGAAAAACATAGTCAAGTACATAATATTAAAAAGATATTAGTTGATAACACAACAATTCTCACACATACACACAGTAAAAAGAACCATTAGATATTGGAGGCCATCTACATTAAAAATAAAGCAACCCACATTCAACGAAATTACCTTTCAAACTAGTCACAACACGTTACCTTGCATGTAGACTTTGGTTCAGTTGTAATACTTCTGTCAATCACGTGATATGACGTCATATAACCGCATCTTGAACTTGTGATCTGCGTTTGTTATTCCGCGACTTCTATGTCAAAATAAAATATCATCTTTAGCGGTGGATATCTTTGTTTCCTGTCTGTATAACCACTCTAAGGATGGCTCATGTCAGCCGAAAGCTTAGGACCAACTTAATAAAAAATATCCAAATGCTGGACAAATTTAGTCTTTATTTTCACCAGAAATTAAAGCAGATATTCGAACATTGGAACGGCTCATGATCAGACATAATAGACATTCATTGTATTGTTATATTATATATATATATATATATATATATATATATATATATATATATATATATATATATATATATATATATATCGGTATCATTTAAGACGATTTTCTTCTGTTCGTATGTGTTTTCTTCTCTTGACACAAAGTGTGTAGATATTGTCCAAATGTTTTGCATATCCGAGCGCTTTCAGCTATTCTTTAATCATTATCAAAGATGAATTTATATATATATATATTTCATTTTTAACGGTATGTGAGTTTCTTTATGTATGTGTGCGAAGTTATAGGAATGGTTTCCTTTTCCAAAACGGTCAGCAGATTGTTCATAATTAATCTTATTCACGCTTCCATTATTTTTAATCTTTTCTACAAGTGGATCAGACTATTATACTTGTATTTTCTAATAGTATGCTACAGATAGAGTTTTGTAGCAAATTCCCTAGTGCCTGCTCCCTCTCTCTCTTCATATATATATATATATATATATATATATATATATATATTATCAAATGGACAAAGTCCGACAATTATTTGAAGACATTTTATGTTTATACATTCATTTTAATAGATACAAATATTTAAGTACATGCTCTGTTTATAATAAACAGCATTAAATAACATTTACCGGCCTGAATGTCCGAGAAATTATCATAGAAAATATGCGTCCTCCGACAGGAATCGAACCTGTATCCTATAGGGAACCGTCATATAGCCTGACGTGCTTTTACCGATTTCGCTACAGAGAAGCGTTTCGGTTAGCAAGGTCGAGTTTACTGTTTTTAAACTACAATTTTCCATGATTTTCTCACGTCCGTTCATATCTGCTCGGTGCGTATCCAAATGTAAACAAATGACGCCACACATTATGAAATGGCTAAAGTCCGACAATTATTTTAAGACATTTTTATGTTTATGCATTCTTTTTTATAGATGCAAATATTTAAGTAAATGCTCTGTTTATAATAAACAGTATTAACAACATTTACCGGCCTGAATGTACTTGAGAAAATCATAGAAAATTGTAGTTTAAAAACAGTAAAATCGACCTTGCTAACCGAAACGCTCCTCTGTAGCGAAATTGGTTAAAGCACGTCAGGCTATATGACGGTTCTGTATAGGATACAAGTTTGATTCCTTTCGGAGGACGCATATTTTCTATGATAATTTCTCGGACATTCAATCCTAGACAATTTCCTTATCGGCAGATACAGGTTGTTACATTATTTCGTGTGATGTATCGAAGTCTGACGTTCAACTTTCCTAAGAAGTAATTGCGAAAGATCGGGAAGGTAATTTAACATAGTGCTAAATAGTTATATGCTCGTTCAACTTCTTACATAAAATTTTGTAGTTAATAAATAAAAGGTCCATTTAAGAAACTGGTAAATAACTACTTGGCAAACTAATATGCTACGGTTAAATTAAACTGGAATCAAGATCTCCGAAATTTACAGTTGAAATAGCCATGTGTAGCCGTAAGTTACATGCTAATAGTTTCCTTTTTGCACTTCTCGCTTGTGGAACTCCCTTCTGGCTCAATACTTTCCAACTTTAATCTGAAAAATATTAAACGCAATGTCAATCCCTATCTACTGTCTTCCTGATTACTCTTTTTTCTTCCCGCTAATTAGTAATGTTTCTGTTCCTAATTCTTGTAATGTAATCCACTTGTATCTTAGTGGCTTTACATGTTGTAAAACCGATTAAGAAATAATCCCTATCCTATGTTTTAAAAATTATGAAATTTTCATTACTTTTATATTGAATATGCCATTATATTGGAAACCTTTGTAAAAATATTTTTTTGGTGTCAATTTTACTCCTCATTTCGATATCACGCGTGAACTTTTTTAATTTACGGATGTTTGCAATTTTTTTTAGTTATATAAAGAAAAGATTGGCTTGTCCGATTTTTAAGGAAATTAAAACACAAAAGAAAATTATACCATTAATTATTTATTCAACTAAATATTTGCTGCACAACATTTCCATTTTTCCTTCAACTTAAAGATTTCATCTTTCCAGAATTTCGGAGGTTTCTCGGCAAAGACTCATTAAGGTGTTTTTTTATGTCACCCAAAGAATTAAAATTTTTACCATTGAGACTATTTTGCAAGGACCTGAATAAAGGAAAATACGAAGGAGCAATGTCTGGCAAATATGGCGGGTGGGGTAACACATTCCAGTCAAGCTGCAACAATTTTTGCCGGATCGCCAAAGAAACGTAAGGTCTGGCATTATCCTTATGGAAAACACCTTTCTTGTTTTCCAATTCTGGGCGTTTTTTCTTGAATTACTGCTTTTAATCAGTCCAGCTGCGGGCAGTACTTTTCAGAATCACTTGACTGGTTACTTGGCAGAAGCTTATAGTACAGGATTCCTTTCCAATCCCATCAGATGCACAGCATGACTTTCATAGGATGAAAACCTGCTTATGAGGTGGCTAAAGTTGGCTCATGTAGATTAACCCCAGGATCTTTTTTAGCTGAACGTTGTAAACGATCCATTTCTCATCACCCGTTACAATTTGCTTTAAAAAGGGTGCATTTTCATTGCGTTTATACAGCAAATCACAAATGAAATGTGACCCAAAAGATTCTTTTCTTTTCAAACATCGTAGCGATTTGAGTACCCAAGCTTCACTAATTATTCATAGATGATGAATTTTGATAGATTTAATGTTTCTGCCAATGCCCGCGTTGTGTAATGCGGGTTATTCTCAATCAATGTCTTGATTTGGTTGTCATCTGTAGAGGGGAGTCTGCCTGAATGTTCTTCATCAATAAGTCTACAATCATCAACTCTAAACTTAGCAAGCCACTTCTGTATAGTACTGTCAGCTAAAACACCTTCACTGTACGCAACAATTATCTTTTTTGTTGCTTACGAGCCATTTTTGCCTTTACGGTAAAAAAGAAAAAAAGCATCAAGTGTGTTGTAGAGTAGTTTTCACAGTGGAGGCTTGTATTTCGCTAAGTCGGTCCTAAAAGGGTCCGACGTACAAAACGTTAGGAACTTGAAATGAGTTAATGACGCAGCAATCTAGTTGTGATGGTTGATTCTTCAATGTC